GGTCCGGCGGGGGACGTGCCCGGGCTCCGTGGGCCGGGGGCGGGAGGAGCGTCTCGTACGTGGTGCCATGAGGAAAAGTGCAGATGTGCCGCAGGATCATTGCGTGTTTTAAGTTGGAAGGGACCTTAAAGCTCATCTAGTCCCACCCCCTTATGTTTGTGTTCTTATAATAATTGTTTCTTAAGCTATATGGGTATACAGCGGCACACTGGAAAAGTAAGTTGAGGGTAAAGATGAAGAAGACAAGTACTGGGTGCACAGCGTGTAGGGCGTCTCTCACTACAAACCCTACGGCGGCAAACAGTGGCTGAAATTTGGCAAAATAATTTAACAGCGTACTTTGAGCCTGAAAAAAAGAGAAGCACTCTAAGGAGCTTACAGAAATTTTTGAGATGACTTCTTCACCTTTTTCTTCACATTTTGTGTATATTCTTACATTATAGAAGGAGAGAATGATCTCAGATTTCCTTTCACAAATTCACATTCTCACTATTCCTGTTTGCTGGGTGGGGGGCAGGTATCAAGAAGTGGTACTCCGAAGTGGTACTTTTTAGGACAGCAAGAATGAAAAGACACGCTGCTACTGACTCCCAGCCTGACAACAAGCTGACAGCTTCATAGAGGACAAGAGCCAGGCGGGCAGCCTAATGCACACCGCTGCCAACAATGTACTTTAACTTTCTGTAACTCTGCTCCTACGTTGTAATCTAAAATTTCATCTTTCATTTGGACAGTGTAAATAGACTTACTGCTTCAAAACAGGACACATTGGAAAGATGGCTCCAGACAGAATGTTGGCAGCAGAGAAATTACACAGCGTTGTCTCAGTGCTCTGACATGGAGTATAAATACCCCGTCCTCTGTATCTGACACTGCAGTCTGCCTCGGGTGTGATGGTGTCACACTGTCGCCTGATAATTACAACAGAAGCCATTTAAGTTCAGACAGTGGGGAAAATCTCGACGTGACAAGGTAGACACTGAAATAAACTGTGATAGGAAACCGCAGACTCTAAACCCACATCCCTGTGGTTTGGCATGGCTGGGGCTGACCATGCCCTAAGTCAGGCCAGACCAGACCAGGTTACACACGAGGCTCCTCCCAGCTCCATTTCCTGCAGTGAGGATGCATCAGAAGAGGCAAACGTGTGCCAGAAAATAAGACATTATTTAGGAGGTTAGGGATATGACAGAGAATTATAACAGTAAGGGAATTATAACATTCTTGTAGCACTTCCATGTATTCGCAGCTCATAGAACAACAAGAATTGCTGTAGTCACCTAATTTAATTACCTCAATGCAGAAAAGAGATGCCAGATCTTTTCCATTCGGGCCACATCCTGACACGCTTGGCAACGTGACGCCTGGTAAGTTTCTCGCACTAAGCTCTGTTCAGTTTGGTCACTGTCACCTCTAAATTAATTTCCCAAATTTCACAAATTAAGAGCACAAGAGGGCACATGACAAACACTGCAGACAGGACAGGCACAGCCGAGAAGCCCCGTCTATCCAAAACCAGAGCCCCACAAGGCGCGTGCTCAGCCTGGCTTTTGGGGGCTGCACCGGGCCAGCAGCAGTGGACACAGCAGACATTGCAGGGAATTCTTCCCAAGCTGAGGAACCACACACGCAATCAGAAAGTTAAACGTGTGAAGCTACCCCGTAACCTGCATATTTTGGATGAGTTGTGGTTTTGTTTTATTCAGGTTGTCTCCCTTGATATCCTGACTAATTATAAACTTTTTAGTTTATACTTCTCTGTTTAAGTTTGTGATAAGGAAGAACAACAAAGTATACAGACAAAAGGAACAAATAAATTTTGTTAAAGGTAGGCCAGATTTCTCTGATTTTCTTGCCAATTATTGATTTCACTGGAGTACTTGACAGTAGATGGGGCAAATTTTCCATAATCTGAAGAATTTAAGATAAATCTTAAATCCTCTGCTTAAAAAACAAATACCATCACCCAACAATGTACAGAATGATTGAGCAGATTTCTTTAGCCCGTGCGATGCAGTGGGACAGACTCAATAATCAGAAGATCACCTTCAACTTCACAAACGATAACCTTATGTTCTGGTCCCAGATTCCGAGCCAGAAGTAAGGAACTGCAGCAAGCTTCAGTCTCAATACATCTACAAATGCTTTCTAAAATAATTGATATTTTCCTTTAGGACTGTTCACATCTCTCTGATGTGCCACCTATAATTTCAGTGGCTATCATTATCAGTCCAGTTCCTATCTGGAGCCACAGGAGAATGCTTCTTATCTAAGCACAAAAAAATTTGGGCCTGTTTCTCCAAGAAAAAAAATCAGGAAGGAGGCTGTCTTGACAAACAACTAAAACTCAGTTGTATTTCAGAGGATGGGACATTTACAATTACTTTGGTTTGTGTAACGCTATTGCTAATGTAAACAGTGATTAAAACAAAAATTTCAATTGGGTATCTGTATTTGAAAAGACATAGAAAAGTAAGAGTCAGAAACTGTCCCAGAGGTGTCATTGTCATGTACCAAGGACAGGTTAAAGGTGACTTTACTCATAAATTAATAATTCAGACTACTGGGACAGCTCCTGTACTTTAAATGTTCGGTTAATTCTATGTAGAAAATTTGGGTGCCTCTCCAACAGGAAGGTGACTGAATGCAGCTCCAAAATGCTTGGACTGAGCTTTGCTCCTCTCCATACTCCATGTTCTGGAAGCACTCTTGGTTGCAGGAAGAGGGAATGTTCATATTAACATCCCCCTCCTTGTCCCTCATCAATGTTCTGGACCCCTCCATCTCCCCGGTGTTTCCACTGCAGTGCGGTTTGCAGATGGTGCACGTGGAGAACAGGGGCACAAGAGGACACGGGACAGAAGCTCGGCAAGTGGCTCGGTTCAACCGCAGAGGGCACATAGATACCAAGGCACAGCGTAAGAACCTGAGAAGAGTCCATGATCTGGACCATATTCTGAATGAATCAATTCTTTTACCAGACCTTAAGTACAGGCCCTGTCTATTTCAATTTTCAAAAGCAAAGAACACTAAACAGTATTAGGAGCAACAACAAGCAGCCAACCAGATCACCTCTGTAGCTTCTTTCAAAATTCAGTGGCACCTTGAATGGGAAGAAGATGTCAAATGGGAGTTTCCAGTGCTTTTGGGGCTGACCTCGAGGAGGTTCTGGGTACTCTGTGATGTCGGTGAAGGTGACAACAGTTGTCAAAGGTACCGTGCTGGGGCTTAGGAACTGCAACAAGAAGGAAAGCACAAACTTTAGCAAGCTTAATACAAAAGAGACATCTCTCCTCAATTTGCTAATGAAGACCCACTGCAGAAGACTGGCAAGCAAGATGTCTTTAGGATGGCAGGAGCTAAGTGGAGTAACTCATTTCCCAAAATTGACACTTGGCAGGCAAACAGAGGGCACAGGTCTCGAGAGGGATCAGTAGTCACTGAGCCTCATACGTTGAGTCTTTAAGTGGCAGAAAGTGGTCTGGGGTTGGAAAGAAGGTACCCTTTCCAGTTGTGCACCTGACTGAGGACAGTACTGATAAAACCACCTTCCTCTATGGAGCTGTTAAATACAAACTCTTGCCATTGCAGCCAGACCACTGCTAAAGTTCAGTCAATCTCAACTCAGTGATATCAAGACCATTTGATTCCTCAGTTCTTAAATAACCCATGAATCCCATTTAATATCCTCCATGTCTGAGGGAGGGGTTTTAAATTCCATACCTTCAGGTGGTGACACTGGTAAAAGTACTGTGCGCCCAGTATCTGAGCTTGTGGGTTGGAGAGGAGGCCCACCTTGGCCCACAATATCCTTATCTCCAGAGTCACAGGAACCATGCAACAGGAAGTGCAATTCACAGCCTGAAAATAACATTTACCACCTTAATATAGTATTTTAAAGCTGCAAAAGGACCATTATGGTCAAAGTCTAATATTTTGTCTACCATAGGTCAAAGAACCTGAATCAGTCACTTTAGCACTAACCCCATAACTTCTGGTCAGGTCAGCCACCCGTTTTAGAACAATATCCATCTCATTTCCAAACAGAATTTGTCTCAGCTCTACCACTGGGATTTTACATTCTATTAGGCCATCTCCTGACAGATTAATAATTACTAAAATACAATTTCCCTCCTCCATAAGTACTTGGATCACAAACTTTTACCCGTAATAGGTAATATATAAATAACCCTAGAAACTGGAAAATCAGAAAGGATGATAGTAATAAAACCATCACATTAATAGGAAGTAACCAGGTAGTATTAGTTCTAGAAGGCAGTGAGAAAACTAAGTAACACAGCACTGGATTCAGCATTAAACTCTTTTTGCCCTTTTGCATAGCAGGATCAGGATTGAAGAGATATTAAATCTGTCAGGGTTTTGTTGTTTAGTAAATATCCTAATAATATAAACCATGACAAGAATGACTGCTTATGGGCATTAAGAACCCTGAGAGTCAGTGCATCAGGACACAAAGAAAGTGAGCGCAGATGAACAAGCTGGTTCTTTTTTCCCCACACCCACCCTTCCCCAGGGCAATACAAAGATCTGACAGGCAAAGCACTCACAGCCGCACACTCACACTACCTGCACACTGCAGTGCTGGCTCAGAACCGCCGTCCACTCTTTTGCCTGGGCTAAGCGAGCACTGCCTGTTACAGCCAGGGCCTCTGCTCTGTCCATCCCCTGAAGAGCCTCGTACAACTTCTGCTGGATGTAACTACAGTTCCTTTCTTCCAGTACTGGGGATAGGCTGGAAATTAGAAAATAACAGCTTTGGCAAAGTGATTTCCAGGACAGAGAAAAACCACTACCAATATCCTTTCTTTGTAACGAGTATTTCTTCCACCAGCAGAATCACTACAGAAGTATTGGTATTAAATGGATGCAGTTTCAATTCTCTCTGCAACAAAAAGGGAGAACAACATAGAAGGGTAATGCATGATAAGGACAACTGACAGCTCTTTAGCCATCTTATCACATCAGTGGTCATGTACCTACCCTGTCACCAACAAAAGAATGATCCAGATCATCAAAACAATCACTTTTTAAGGTTCCATTATATTTCACTCCTCAAATACAAACTCTACCCTTGCCCAGGCCACATTGCCAGACTACAGCCTCAGAATGTCCCAGAAGACCTTCAAAATGTTCAGATTTTCAAGCGATCCACCATCTCTCTGATACTCAAGTCTTCTTAGGAGCATATGAAAGCTCTGCAGAGACCCATTGCTGACCTCGAGGAAGGACCTAGGCCCCACGGCAGCACGTAAGAGACTATGGAAAAACGTGCTAAGTGAGTCCACACCTTCCAAATGTGTCAGGAATGGTGACTGCAGAGTGTGTCGTTACCTGAACTTGCAGCCTGTCCTCATATTTCTTCCAAATTGTACTGTGTGTCTGAGGAGCTGCGAGCAACTTCCATCGCCTTCGCTGCGTAAAATGCTCATCTGTCAGATTGCACGTCAGGGACTCAAACAAAAGCATAAGCAGACAACATAGGACACCCAACCTGTATTTAACAATCCTCTCAGCCCGCAAGCCTCCTTATCCCTATCACGGGACAACAATTCAGTCGTGACCAGAAGGCCTGCTGATGGCTGCAACGTAATATTGAGACATGTCCTCACAGGTAATGGTAGCATCTCAAATGTCCAGAGAGTAGAGTATCAGAAGTCAATAAACCCAGTGATAAAGAAAACTTGGCAGCAGAAAAAGGATACGTGCTGCATGCCATCACTGTTTGCCATCAACAGGGGTGCTCCAGTGATATAGCCAGGGTTCCCACTTCTAGGCAAGGTGTGAGAAAGAGTTCTGGTCTACAGAGGCAAAGGGAAGCAAGGAAGAGGAAAACATTAGCACCAATGAGAGCCATTCATCTCAGAAGTTCAAATTCACATTCTCAAAAATGTAAATGTAAAGGTAAAAAACTAAATGTCAGTACCCCAAAACGTGCATTTTACCAGGACAGTTCTTGAATGAATCCCTATTGCTCAGCATTTGTCTATAAGGAAGTGAACAGACCAGTCTGGGCAAGGACACAGATGATCTGCAAAGCAAACCCTGCCTTGACCCCAATTCTGAGTGGCAGATTCCAGTTCTCAGTTGTTTTATGGGGAGAGCCTCTGCGGATGGCTTCAGCAAGGCTGGACCCACACTTATCAGCCCCTGAGGCCACCACTTATCCCACTTCACAGTGCCTCTGTAGGACAAGGTTTATATAAACCTCACCACACATGAGTATTTCCCAAATTTCCACTCCCTCCAAAGTAACTAATTTTCCTGCTGCATGGACAAAGTTAAATAAGTACCTGGAATAAATTTAGCGACTTTGGTCACAAATGCTGAACACCTCAGATACAGCACCAGCTTCAACCCTTTCCTTCACAAGACTGAGCTGGTGACTCTGATCTCATCCTCTCACCTTCTCTCCATGCCAAAAAAGCCCCAAACCAATTCAAAATAACAGCAAAAACCAGTCAGATAAAAATAATCAGCCCCTTCAAACTTGTGCAGTGCAAGACTGCATGCTTGCACTGAGCCTGAATTTTTCTACTACCGTAGTTAACTCGAGACCAGAGCAGGATCCCCTCCTTCCCTCGATCACCAGCCGTGTCCCAGGGATGATACAACCACACCGCAGTGGCACTGCTCTAATCTTTTCACGTCCATCTGAACAAAACTGGGTCACAAACCACACACGGCAAACTTGGTGAGAGCGCAGGGAGGACACGGGCACTGACCCAGAAGCGCAGAGTGAAGTGCTGCTGCAAAGAGGATCCCGGGTCCCCAGAGATGTTGCTCACTTTGAACCGGACAGAAACACTCCGAATCCCATGTGTGCCACTGAATTCGATCTCGTAGATCACCTGAGGGTCCAATTCAGAGAATAACCAGAGTCAGGCCCAGGGCAATTACTTTGGGCCAGTGTTGAGCAGCCCAAAGGAAAGAAGATTCGGGTACCTCAGAAACAGCATTGTTACAGGTGTTGTCCTTCATGTGGGGGGCTCCGGGTGGTGACACTGCGGTGATGTTCACCTGGACACAGTGAGCACATTCACAAATAGCAACTGTTTAAAAGGAGTGTGTCTTTCTTCCTCTTCTCTGCTGCTTTTGCACCCAAGTCAGATTTACCTTCCTGCTGTAGCTGTCATCTATGGACACATCACCATGCTCCAGATGCCTATTTTATTTTCTAAGAAAAATAAACTACCTCCCCAACTCCAGCCCTACCTATGCCCATTCATTTAAAAATACAGCTTTCCTTTTATCCCTATTTTTTTTCTATAACACCACACTTTTGTCAAAAAAAATCTTGTCTCAGACGCAGGACATTCCCATCCTCCCAAGTTCCCATCCCATGGGCATTACTATGAATGCTAAGATTCCAAATGTGTTCTGTTTCAGAAGCAGAAATTATTTTAACTGGCAATAGAGACTGACCTTCATGGACTGCACGATGGTGTCATTGACTGGGACCTGGGGAAAACAAACAAACCAACATTCAACACCAAAAATCCAACTATTTTTCTAGGTTTGCAAATGACTTTTATGGGCTTTCACAGCGTTTTCTTCCTTTTCAGAAGTAATACAGCAAAATATGGTGAAAATGTTCCTTTTGATTTTCCATTTTGACATTGATGTTAAATAAATGTTAATTACATCATGCACTTCTTTTTCTAGAACAAGCTTGAACTGTCAGTGTCAAGCTACATAACGAATCTGCAGTTTAAAATGAAGTTAGTTACATTTTGAGATGTGTATGTCCATCTATTAAAAAGCCCCTGCAATTACTTTATATATATACACACACACACACACACACATATTTTACCAATATATCAACAAAAATTATTTTATTTATTCCAGATGTGTAAAACTTGTCGTCAGTCTGTGAACTAGAAATCACAGACATATTCCAAAGAAAGCATTTTTAGAACATCAGAAGACAAATTTTATTCTTGGCCCTGCAAAACAAATCCTCATTCTCTGCTAAGAATGTGTGTTGCTTGGTTGATCAAGCTGATGGAACAGATACTGTTTATCAAAGTATTTCTGTTTAAAATGCAAGAGAGTTCTAGTTAAACCATTAAAGCCATGAAATATGAATGAAGTACCTGTTAAATGCATTAAGAATTTGCTAATAACTGAAATTTATTGGAAATTAGTTTGAATTGAGAAATTATCACCAATCATGCCATTTGTAACAGGATTTCCAGCAAGAAGGCCTTAACAATCGGGAGATCAGGGATGACACGCGAGGTGTTTTCCGGTTACCTGGAGGTGCAATGAGAGGCAATGGAAAGCCAAGCAAGTAAGATGCTGAGCAGAAGGAAGGCGCAACACGCACCTTTAGGACAGCAAAGTCACGGTAGTAGGAGGCAGCATCTAGGGCAGGGTCAGCAATGCAGCTCTTGCTCAAGTTGGCAAAAATCCGAGTACAGCTTGTACTTTTACTGTCCAGGAAGCCTGAGTTAAGACACGACAACAGATAAAACAGACGCAAACCACCCCAAGAACCTCCTCCCCCGTCACTGACCAGCAGGATTTCCATCAGCACAAAGTCCACTGGCTCCCATTTTTACTGGCTGCCTTAGCGTGCTCAGCACAGACGATGACTCAAAGTAGATTAGGACTGGATCACCAGCCTGCAAAGACAATTTGGGGCAATCACAGACCAAGTGAATACTGAGGCCAAGCACAAGCTGATGGAATTATCGGGGCACAGAGGCAAATTTAAACTTCTCCTTAGTGTATGTGCAGCCTGTTTTGTCTAAAGGGTTGTCCAAACTTTTAATCACAAGAAAACTAATCATAAACACTTTACACAATAAGGAATTAAAAGAACTGGGAGATAATATGTCTCATCGGTAGAAAAATAAGACTCTTTCAATCTGTTCTCATTAGATCTCATTACAGACAGCTTCAGTCAAAGTGTATCTGCAAACTGATTGCTATTTTCTTTCAACTCACCTGGTAAAAGGCAGAGAAAGATGGTGGGACTTGTGACGGTGCTAGGAAAGAATGCCTGCCATACTTCTCCAAGAGCTTCAGAAAATCAGATTCTTTGATGTCCTCTGGCTGCTGGAAATAGTTCAGCTTTGCTAAAGGTTGAAAGGAGAAAAAGAAGTCTGCCATTATCAAACTACTAGAAAAGACAGATCTAAAAAAAAGTAAATATTATACCAATATTTTTAAAAAGGAACAACTCCAGTAATTATAAGCTAGATAGTGCCTTATATTAATTAATCCGTACTAACACTGCTGACAGGCTAATGAGAGCTACGAACAGAACAATATAAGGAGTACTAGTTTGTACTGTATCATAGGAAACAGTGTTAATACACAAATGTGACTTTCCAAAAAGCCTGAAAACTGCTTAAGACAACTGTCTTAATACGTGCTCTAGTTTCTGTAAGATACCCAAATTAGACACACATGACATTGTAACGACAAAACACTACCAAAATGTGACTTCCCTAAAAGCAACACTAAAAGGATTAAAAATAGTTACAGTTGGTAATACTCCAAGTGACTATTACTAGGGAATTGGCATCCTAAAAATCCCCAGATTTTCTGTTGGTATCCCACAGTGGTGCCCTACTGACCCAGCATTACTCAGTATGGTTACGATGTTATAATGTATTAAATTATTACTGCTAAAACGCTAAGACATAAAATGGCACATTAATAAGGACATACTATGTAGACCCATCCTAATGGACGTGTTTGAACAATAAACTTTGTAATACATCCAAATAAAATACGTGACAAGGTTTGAGGACTACAGATCATAGCAACAGCAGCAGCGAGTGGCAGTGTTGTAGTCGAGAAAACATTTTGATTGATTAAAGTAGTTAAAGTAGGTATTTGCTTAAACTGTAAAGTTAAAATTGTAAGACATATAAGTGCTTAGAGAAGGTATGTACCAGCGGTGCCTGGCTTACAGGGAGTGCTGGGAGAAAGAGGAGCTTCTGGAAGCTCTGGACCAAAAGGGGATAAGGGAGAACCTGGTGGTAAAGGTGGTGATGGATGGTGTTCCTGGTCCTAGAGGAGAGGCTGAACCCCTGGTAGCATGGTCTCCCAGGTACATACCAAACATAGAATAGTTGTGATAAAGCAAAGCTTTTCTCGTTTTGCATGCCAAACCAACCATGGTAAAGGGCAAATTAAAAAGTGGACAATTTATTCATACTTGTATAATCTCATTAAATCGCTCTGTTAGAAATGTATAAATGGGCTGTGAAAACATATGGACTTCAGAGCACAATCAGAGGAGCAATCCTGTGTGTCTCCCCAGTGCTGCAATAAAGAAGTGCCTGCTTATCCGCAACTGCATAGATAAGTTTTTCTTGTCTTGACTGTGACCCCATCAACAGCAGTATGCTCAATTACAGAAGTACCAGAAAGAATTTAGGTAGGCTAGTAAGTAGGCTGGGGGAAGAAGATAAAAAAACAATTTAAGATCTCAATGTAAATCTGTTTGAGGGCAGAGCAGATCCTCAGATGTACAGAGCAGCAACCAGAAACAAAGGCTTTTTTATATCCGAATACAGCATTAGTCAGGCAGTCAACCAAATCTTTAAGGAGACAAAGGCTGAAGGAGTACTAGGCTCCTACAAGGTTCACAAAAATTGGTGCACAGAGCAGCTTTCTGATTATTCCCTTGAGGGCACAATCTATTAGACCAGAAAAGAAAACATTGGTAGCTGTGCTACTCACAACCATTTATTTTCTTTGGAATGCGGTTCTTTACATACTCTTCTGTTATCAAAGCTGAACACTTGCTAATGCAGATTAACAGCATTACATATTGCAAAATATAACTGAAAACCAGGAGAAAAGGCCTTTGGCAGCAAAACTTAAGATACTCAAACTGCTTAAGTTTTCAGAGAAAAGACATATATAACTTGTTCATGGCGTAGTTTGCTACTAAAGGCTGTTTAATCTTGTAGAAAAAGGCAAAAAAGAATTTCAGACAGCTTAATTTGTCTGAAACCAGACAAACTGAAAACAAGTAAATAAATAAAACAAGAGTCAGGCTCATGGAGAATGACTCTTACAACTTTAAAATGCACTCGTATTAGTTTGGCCACTGATTTAGAAGCAGAAATTACAGCAATATTCTCCTGACACCAGCAAAGACTAAAGACAAAGTTGATATCTTGAGGAGCTAGAATGTGAAACAGGAGTGCTTTTAAAACTACTTTCAGTATTTTGACAATATCCATTATTTCCTCCTGTCCCCGAGAACTGATTTTTTCCTCTTTAATTAATGAATTATCAGTTGGATGAGCAAGACCACCTGACTCTGCCAGCTGTGCCATCATTAGCCAGGAGGAACTGTTAGGGATGTGGTGAGCAGTCATGCTGCTCCATTTAGTATCAATACAGTCTAAAATCAGTTTAAGACCTGTGAAACTCCACCCTTAGCTTGAGACAGTGAAAAGCAGTACTGAGAAAAATTGCAAAAGGAAGAAAGGGCCACAGAGGGCACAAAAGAAAGAGAACATTGGGTGTGATCAGGTTAGAGGAATGCCAGAGCTGTGAACATCTGTCAGATGGAGAACAACAGTATGAAAAAGTACAAAAAGCAAGCAACTGAAGACTGACAATAGTCAGAAAATAAGCAAGAAAGCTGACTGGGTGAACCAAAGGATATTTTATGCTTCAGGAAAGACAGCCGAAATGGAGCACTGCAGTCAAGAAAGAATGACCGCAGTCATGGAAAGAGCCGTCAGTGACAAGCAGAGGAAGAAAAAAACAGCACCTTTCAGAATTATCCTAAAGAAACTGGATCAGTACTCTGCAATCTGCTAGCAATGGTTTCAACGAGGTGAAGTCAAGTTGTGCATCACGATCTCTTAGTTACTGCCCACAGTAATTCACCCGGTTCAGAGCCTGTTCCCACTTGTCCTTTTCCAGCAGCCCCTCTGGAGCAGGCTTGGTTGTATTTCTGGCAGTGGCAGCTCACACTGCCATCCATCCTGGGAAGGCTTCTTCCACAATCAGTTGATGAGAACATACATTTGTGTATTTCCTCAGGGAAGGCCAAACGGGAGAAGGCTGTTTCTACCAGAAAACTTTATCAGCATTCAGGTGATCCCAAATAAAGTCTTGGGACTAAAGTAGATGGGACTGTGGGACAAATCTCCCAGGCAAAAGAAAATGCAAAGTGTTCAAATGCAAGATCCCAGTGGACTGCAATGAATGCCAGAGAGTTGGACATCAAATCAGTCACATGAAGTACAATGCGGAAAGTAGAGAGAGAAAAAAGTGTTGATGGCATGCCCTATGTGGGTATATGATTACCGGAGAAAATTATTTGTCAGCACAGAAAAAAGTATGAAAATAGGCATATGAAATAAAGAGTCCAAGATATCACAAGAAATCACTTTCTGAAAAGGATAGTAGTCTTATATTTCAAATATCGACCCTTATTTGCTGTGCTAAGTGTAGCAAACTAAGTCAGGTGTCTCAGACACAGAAGCAATTGACAAAGGCTGATTTGTGTTTAGCCAGAGACCCCACCCTTACATGGAGTGCAATGAGCTTTTTCTTTTCCTTTAGTGATGGGACGCTGCTTCACTGTGGTCTGTCTGGAACTTCAACAGCCCAAATAATTAGTGACAACTATAACATGTAAGTTTAAAAAAAGGTTCCCAAAGCAGAGGCAATGATATCTGCATTAAATGTGTAGACAGAAAGGGTACTCACAGTCCTCCAGCTGCACACAGAACAGATCGTGTCCGCCAGGGACAGCCACGGTGTCAGTACGGTAAGGGGTGTTACTTCTGAAGATCAGTGATTTTTCCACACACACTTGACTCACAGACCTGCAAAGACAAACCCCCTCCCCCAGAAAACTGTTAAAGAGGCTATTCTTGCATAATTTCATATTTTACATTACTAGATGCCAGCAACAGAACGCAGTATTCGTTTTCTTCAGCTTCCATGAGTTACTGTACAGTCTGCATTGATAGTCAATTACAGGGAGCCTCTCTCAACCTTGTAGTAACTTTGTGGGTACTCTGTATATTTAACAATCACTCTGAAATCCCCTGGAACAAAAAGTGGTAAAGAAATTCAGTGTCCATGTCCATGTCAGCTCCTTGATCCCCCTGATCACTGCAACCTGCAAGGATCAGGTTCACCCACATATTTTACTCTCCAAACAGATGAGACTGCCCTCCCTGGCATCACCTTGCTGCCTGTGATCGCTTTACTGCCTCCCCGTTGTGTCATTTCGTCCCCAGACAAGGCTGCCCCCGCCCTACCAGTGACCCAGCCCAGCTCCACCCAGGCCACGGAAGCCTTCCCAAGACCCCGACTCGGCATCAAGCTGTCCCCATCACCGAGGGCCGCGACAACCACGGCG